GCCCGAAAGGCTCCGAGCGGGTCCCGAGCCGCGGTCCCCATCCCGGGGTCCCCGCTCCGACATTCCCCGCTCCCGGCTCCCTGCCGTACATCCTGGAGCTGCCGGAACAGGACGCGCCGGCCCGAAATTCAAACTTTAGTTCTGTTTTTAAGCTTTTTTAGCGAGATCCAGGATAGCTCTGAAATCAAATCCCGAGTCCCTGCTGGGATCAGCGCTCGGCTGTCGAGCAGGGAGGGACACATATGAGTCCCACAGAGTAGGTGGAGGTCCAGAGATCACAAGGATTACAGAAGTTTAAGACCTAGAAATGACGCCTGGATTAACCTGTGTCCATTTACAGGCTCCCGGTTTTTTTTACGGCCGTCCATTTACAGGCTCGTGTTTTATCTGAAGGCCTCTTCTTATTTAGGGTTCCCTTCCATCTACAAACACGAGCTGATTTGGGAAGTGCCCTGAGCTAACTGCTGCAAAAAGGATCAGGGACCCATCTCTGCTGGGCCAAACCTGAGGTATTTCTGAAGAAAAGAAGAAACGACTCCCCCTTTTGCATTCTAAAGCCTAAAGACACTCGTTTCTTGGAAAGTTTCCTTCTGGAGAGGGCCTAAAACTTCTCCTGAAACCTCAGAATTTTCTAGCTCCTCATCCCAAAGTGCACAGGCTCATCTGTGTGCTCCTCCTGGATGGAGAATTGGCACAGGGAGCAGAGTTCCGCCTCAGATCTCACCACTCTGCCAGAGCAGCACATTCAGGTTAGACTTGGGCATACAGCACAAGGCCAGGACTAAAGATAACTTGGGTTTATCTCAACTGTCCTGCTTTGGTGGAAGCCTGCAGCAAGGTCCAGTGCCTGCTGGAAGCACAGCACCTGCTGTTCTGGCGGTGAACTGGATGTTCCTACAAATATCATAATGGAAAAACAATAGGAAATTTGTGCCTGCTGCTCCCTCTCTCTCTCCACTGATCAAAAATCCCCAACAAATGGGAATAAAACCTGCCTCTGAGCTTTTGATCGCAACCCGCAGCGCCAGCAGCAAGTCGCCTTCCCTTCCTCCTCTGGGGTGGGACAGGAGCCTTCCACTGGCATGGGACTTCCTTCACCCTGAGCAGCCGTGGCCCAGGAGCTGTGCCAGGGGACGCAGCCAGACCAGGCACGTGTCACTGAAACCGCATCTGAGGAGAGAAAAAGGAAACAAGTCGCAGAGGAAGATGTGACACAGTGACAGAGCAGTGAGGGGACAATTGCAGACGGGTTAACACATGCGTTGGCACAAGTCACATAAAACCATTTCCACTTGTGCTCCAATATCACTAGATCTGTGGAAGACTTGCAAGTGAGTACTGTACCAGGAGGGATTAAGATCAGAGCTGTAAAGAAAACCACAGATGTAATTTAAAGGGTAAAAGTTGGTAAGGAAGCCTCTTACAGGCAATCAACAAAACCTGATCTAAGGAGCTAATCAGAAGTTACCAAGAGGTGGTTTGATTTATTAGCTGTAGAGGGGAAAGGAAAAGGTCTTTGGGAAGAAGAAAAAGGTTCTTGGATATGGCAGAGATTTACATTACAGAAGTAAAATCAATGGATGGAGGCTGCTTTCCTTGTCAGGAAAGCTCAGCTCCCTCCAGAAGCAAGGGGAAACTCACCAGTGGCTCATCCCAATCTCCCCCTGCACCAGTGGACACAGCACCTCACTGGACTTGTGTAGTGTCTTCCACAGGCACACACAGGGAAAGTGGCAAATGGAAGAGTGAGATGCCCAGAGCCAGCATCGCACCTCTCCCATCTCCCCTCAACATGACCCACACTGGCTGGGGCACACCAAGCCTGGCCACAAACAGCTGGCAGTGGTTCCTCCTTCACTAGGAGTTTAATGAAGAACCAGAGGAAATGAGTCTCATCCTCAGCTACCACCCTCTCAGAGCAGTACTTGAGGGAACAACCCCACTCAAACCACAGAGTGCTGAACACAGCCGAGTGTGCCCAGCACACATCTCTACTGCTGGTAGCTCACACAAATCCAAACCAAGAATGTGGGGGTTTCCAGAACAATTTATTTCTCTAAGTCACATTCTCTGGGAGCAGGAGTGTTTATGTTGTGATAAACTGACACCGAGAAGATTTAACAACTTCTTCATTTAATAAGTGATTTTCACTACATGGTATTGTACACTGTTATCCGTTCAAAAAAGATTAACAGTATTTAAAAAACAAGATTCTGTGAGAGATTCATAGAAACCAGAGATCGAGATCGACGCCCCTGGTTGGCTTCCCAAGCCATTGTCTACATTTGTAGAACAAAGTCTTTAGGCTAAAATGCACAAACCCCGTTCCGGCAGATCCAGAGCCACCTCCGTAGCTCCCGTCCGTCCGACACGGCCGCCGCTGGAAAACGCTCCACTCGATCGACCACACGGGAACTGCACAAAAACGTGTTCACTGTGAGCACAGCAGGATCAACAGCACAGCGTTTCTACTTGATATTTCGAGTCAGCACTTCCTTCCGTCTCCAAGAGGCAGGCGGGACGGGAGGAGAGCCCTGCCAGCTCGGCGTGGTGGGTCACGGGCAAAGCGAACTTTGGCTTCAGGAAAGAGACACAAACACTTAAAATGATGGCTTTAATTGTCATTGGAAGTGTACGGAGAGGGGGGAGTGTCTGAATTAAATATACATCATCCCAGCGAGGCTGGTGAGGCTGAAGGTTATTTCTCATGTCGACAGCGATAAAACAAACGTGTACGTGACACGACATGAAAAGAAAATCCCTTTAAAACAAAACTTTATGTAAAAAAAAAAGTTCACAGTGGTCTGTATAAACAGTATGTAATTTCTGACAGTAACAAATCTCTACTCTCACAGCACACCAGTGCCCTCTTTAGATCCTAAAGAAGAAAACAAGCATTTACACTACTCATTGTACAGGTCAGGAAGTCGGCTGCAGGACTACCCCGAACGTGGGACACTGTGGAGCGCGGCTGTAACACCAGTGGAAGGAAAGTTTAAAACTCTCTTCCTGGGAGGGAGAAAAAGAAAGTCTTTCATTCGCTGCTACAACCAGCAAATGCCATTCATCAAATCAAAAGGAAAACCACAAACACGTTATCTATTTTGAGCAAGCTGAACAGTACACGACAGTGTTAAAAATGGAGGTTATATACTATGGTACAAGTCCCAGCAAGGCAGAGCCAAAGTGACTATTTCTTTGCCTGTTTTGTGATCATGCCCCTGGGAGGCGTTACAGGTCGGCTGGAATTGGGCTTCTTTTTCTCTGCAGGTTTCAAAATCTGAAAGAGAGAGTTCAGGTATTTAGCACAAAGCTTTAACTCTCTTAACATCAAGCAGTTAGCTCATGAGAAAAGGCACTGTAGGAGCAAGTCATCAACACAACAGGAATGAAATGTGTTTCCTACTCAGAGCTCGGACAGAGCTGACAGCAGCTGATCCAAGAGCCGGTGCCAATGGAAGCAGGCGGACAGCTGAGAGCTCTGCTTGGATGACTTAATTCCAGGGTTAAGCAGCTCTCCTACTTACATCAGCATGGGCTTATCACGTTTTTGAAAACCTAAGCGCAAACACAGCCCTGTCTACCTGTTGGTAAAGATCCATTTGAAACAAGCAGCGTGGGTTTGTAAGTGAAGTAGTGATTCAAACCAGAACAAATTTAAAGTGTAACTGTGCTAAGCAGGAGGTGAAACCTTCAGATACCATACCTGAAAAGAGCACATTAGAGTTTCATCCACACTCATCATGGCACCCGCATTATCAAATTCTCCACAGTAATTTGGGGCAGAGAAGAGAGTTACCAATTGTCTTTTTGCAAAAAACTCATATCCATCTTCAACAACCTTTAGAGAGAAAGCAGAAGTATTAAGACTGAACAACTTCTTCCTGCCGCGGTGCAAAGCAGCTTTAAGCGAGCCAGCTGCTGACAGACTGGCTACATCTAAGGAGTATGAGTTCCAGGCTTTCACACTGGAACAGGAAACCCACAGCAGGTCCCAGTTCAGAGTTCATTAACAATGAGAAAAACAGGATTCTGCTGGGTTCAAGACAGTCTGGTTTAGGAATCAGAGCAACAGTTTATAGGTATTAAGAAAAAAAAAAAAGTTCATTACAAGGGTTGTCAAACACTGGGACAAGTTGCTCAGAGGCAGTGGAATCTTGATCCTTGCAGATCTAAGATATCCTTGCAGGTAAGATCCTCAGCAACTCGGGCTCACACTCGTTTTTCTGCATTTAGTATGTGCGGGTAGGGTTGGGACCAGATGAGCACCTCAGGCCCCTTTGGACCCAAATTACTCTATGGTCTAATGTACAAAACTAGAATACCTGATGAGCTCTACATATGAGATCCAAGTCATGTTTATGAAGAAATTTAGCAACCACTTCAGCACCAAATGTGAAGGACACTCCTCTGTCGTTTTCACCCCATCCCAAGACATCCTTGTCTGGGTCAGACCACAGGAGATCACAGAGTAGACCTTGATCTGGTACATCAGTGGGGCGCATGATTCGTCTGATCTGTTCCATTGACTGAAGGTCTGGTGACAGGCCTGTTAAGACACACGCAGCTCACAGTTTAATCCAACTTTGCGCTCAAGACTGAGCTAATAATTCAAAACAAGAATAATCTGTATTCAAACTGATTTTACATAGCTCACTGGCAATGTTAACTGCTCCTCATTTGTTTTACAGCTTTTGTAACAGAAGACAAGTCGCTTCATATTTACTAAATTATTTACTGGAAGCAAGATAAGCAAAGCCATTTCCACATCTTACAGGATTACGATAATCTCACTGCCATATTTTGCATAAAAGTGTATAAAGCGTCTGATAAAAGAGCTGTTAAATAAGAGACTTCAATACTAGAAACCACTGGGTATGTTCATTTTAACCATCAGGCCTGGCAAGATGAAATAACAGTATCAAACAGACTTCATACCATTTCTCACTGATCAATCTCTCTGGGCACGTGCAAGTGATAAAATATTTAAGGTGCTATATGTGTTTTATTACTTTGAAAAGCAGCACAAAGCAGGTATCACATGGCATAACAGAGTCCGTTTCTACAAACGGAACTCCAAACCCATCAGGTTAAACTGGGCTTTGAGCAACCAGGTCTAGTGAAAGATGTCCCTGCCCTGCCAGGAGAGATCCTGCTAAGCAAGCTTAGAAGTGCCTTCCAACCCAAACCATTGTATGATTCTACAAAAAACTCCCATGTTTTCACAATGTACATAGAACTCCTATTCATTCAAATCTAAAAAAACCTACAATGATTCTTTACTCAAAAGGAGAGGCTATTCAGTGTGCTTTTTGGTACAAAAGGAAAAACAGATCGTGTTTGAAGTGACAAAACTACCAGCTCAATGATTCACCAAACCGACACTAATCCAGCTCAACCCTACCTCAAACATCCACCAAGACAGAGAAAAAAAAAGTCCCTCAAATTCTGAAGCTTCAGCAACGTAAACATGAAACTGCCATGACTGACACTGGAGTATTACAGTTTCTCATGTATCGACTAAGGAACTGTTACTCACCCCCATGACAGCAGAATATTTTCTCATCCACAATAGCTGCAATTGGTAAACAGTTAAAACAATCTGTGAAAGTTTTCCACAGCTTAATATTGTATCTTCTCTTACCTGGAAGACATTTTGGAGAAAAAACAGTCAATATGTTTCTCTATCACAACTACAATCAACCTAACAGGCTTAAGTTTACTAAGAGTTGCAAAAAGTTAGCATTAAAGCCTATACACAACTTATCTCCTCTGATATCCACTGACACACTTCACTGTTCAGAAGAAAAGCTGCAGAGGTTCTTTCAGTGCAGCAGAGTGCTCTGACACACCTCTGAGGATAGCACTGGTCTGACAACAGAATGACATCCCATTGCTGGCAGCCAGACTCTCCAGTCCCAGCTTTGCTTTGGAAAATTATCCCTTGGAGAATTTGGTCCATTTTGGAAAATCTTGCCATTTGCTGGTTTTTTTAGGGGAAAACAGCAATTCTTGGAAAGCAGATTTTCTTCTGCTGTACCACATAATCTCCCTAGGCAAAGAAACAGGACTGAAAATTGAAACTGCTACAGTTTTACTTTGAAAGCAACTCTCCCAACAGACATGAACTCTGAACATATTTGCAATCTATGACTAAGCCGGTGATTCATCTCCAAGGAGTCAACTCTGAAATACCACACATCTTTGTTTCCTCACTGAAAGAGAACGAGACATGGCGAGTACATCTTGTAAGCCACAAGCCAAGCCTGTCCCATAAAACAAGTTGTGAGAATGCTTCACTGCACAATTAATTTAACAGTTTTATCTCCTCTACATAATCTGGATTAAGTCACACCCTTTGAAACATGAACATACACTTCAACTTTGCTATAAAATTACTTCTTATGTTAGGGTAAGGTCTACTCAATGCACCCTGCAGTGATAGGGCTGGTACATTAACTGTGTAGCAATGTCATGTTTGTTTTAAACATTACAGGTCTTAAAATGAAGTAGTTGCAATCACGGTAACACAACCACTGTGAAGACCAGCTCATTCTCCAGGTTAATTTAACACAAGTATACATCATCATCACCATCCCCAGATCATCTTTAAGGTCCCTTCCAACGCAAACCTCTCTGTGATTCTGTGAACTTTTGCAAAGCATGTCAAGTAAAATTCTCTCACCTCTCACTAGATGAACTTTTCTTAAGAACTTTAGCAAGAAGTACCAGTGAGAACTGTTAGTTAACATAGCAGCCAATAAGGAAGATTACCCACTTGCATGCTGCTTTGCACTGTGAGGATAGGAATCCAACAGGATCAGGGAAAGGACACATTTCCCTTCCTGAAGCGTGTAAAGGGAACTGCAAGTTAGGAAAGAATCACCCAACACTGCAAGGCTAACACTTCCTACCCTGCTTTCCCAAGCCAAGGATGCACACATCTATTACTTACATTCATCGTAAAACCCATAAATTCTATTGATGCTGGCACATTCATGGTTTCCTCTGAGAAGGAAAAAGTTCTCTGGGTATTTAATTTTGTAGGCCAATAGAAGACAAATGGTTTCTAAAGATTGTTTTCCTCTGTCAACATAATCACCAAGGAACAGGTAGTTGCTTTCTGGTGGAAAACCTCCATATTCAAAGAGTCGAAGCAAGTCATAGTACTGTCCATGGATATCACCTGCAAAGATTATTTGGAAATGACATGTTAAGTGACCCTTTGCTACATTCTTTGACTGACTCTAGAGAAAGAACAAAGGAATGACGCTTCAGAAAGAAAAAAGCCTGCAGTGACATACAGCCTACAACATACTTAAAAATCAGTTTATCTGACTGGATATAAAATGATCATATTCTGAAGTCTGACATCTATGCAATGCAATGGTTAACTGTACTAAGATGAAGTATGTAGCTACTTAGAAATATTCACACTTGTAGAATAAAATCAAGATTCCAAGAAACCAACTGCATGTTCCAATAAGCATCTGACAAGCAGAAAACTAAAGCACAATTTTAGACGACCAACGTCTAATACTGAACAACCTACTTCAATTTGAAGTAAACTCCCCAGTGTTACAGTAGGATAAAATACTGGAAGCTTTTAAAAGCACATTTATTGAGGTTTTTATTTTGACATTCTTCATTCTTTTAGCATAACTGGACATGAAACAGGTGCAAAATGAGCACCACCGTGTACAAGTATGGTGAAACCAAACCCCTAAGCATCCAGCAGGGTTTTATTTTCCCTTTTGCTACAATCATTTATCAGATTCACCATTAACAAGTGAAAGTAGCATTTGGCATTTGTTCTTTGCTTAAGAGCTGCATTTACCTGACACTTCCCCCCAACCCCAAGCATCAAGATCCCAGCACTCACCACATATTTTTAGTGGAGCTTCAAGTTCTAGTAGAATAGGCTGACTCAGAAAGATTTCTCTGGATTTCAAGCACAATCCTCTGATTTCATTCTCTTGAAGTTGGACATTTTTGCCTGGTTTTGATCCTCGCACTGTTGGAAGGAGTCAGAAGTCAGTTATCAAAATCAACAACATCCCTGCTGTTATTTTAAGAGCCTGACTAAATGCCACTGTAATGAGATGGTAACAGGGTAATATCAGTCTGCTTAGGTGAAACTGCACTGTCTTGTCACCAGAGAAAGGGCAATGTCTTCTGTTTTAGTTGTATGTTACTTTCTCTTAACAGAATTCAAGGCTCAACACTTCCCCCGTTAAATGCCACATTTTAAATAGCATCAGTTTAGTCCTTTTAGTTATAAAACACATCTTGGACAATGGGACTATATAGACATATTTTATTTTTGTTAATGAAACAAGTTATACACTTGTTCTCTGGAAAGCTGTCTGAAGATGGAAAAGGAAGCCTCCCATTTAATCATCAACTTGGTGCTCAAATGTACAAGCTTCCCTAAACTATCATTTAGATACTGCCCAAGACAGTATCTAAACAAGGCTACAATGCCAATAAATACTGTACTGCCCCGTTCTACACTGCAGTTAGCAGCCATGGAAGAAAAACAAGGGTGTGACTGCAAGGTCAGAACTACACATAAGGAAAAACTCTTTTATCACAATGACAAAACAGCTCTCCTTATCATTGCCTTTGAGCACAGTAAAAGACAAACTAGCAGGACATTTATCCCCCAGCCTCAGACCACTTTTTACCCTAGTCCTTCACCCCCTCCATTAACACTTCAATCTCCCCCACTGCAACAATTCAAAATAGTCAGTTCTCTTCAATATCTATCAAAGCTTTCTGTCCTAGTCTGGACAACAAGGACACTAGCTTGGCCCGGGCATGTTTCTACAGCCACTAAGCACAGCTTACCCTTACCTATCACCCTCTGCCCCATTTCTGTTGCCCAGAAACAAAAAGGACATTTCTGTGGCAGCAATACTCTACCTATGGCCAAGTTCCATGCAACAGCAATTATCAGGTTTAAGGTAAGACTAAAAATAGCAATTATGACATTACTGGCGCAGCTTATTGTAATTTTATTTGGTGGCAAAACCAGTGACAACATGGAGTACTGGTAAGGCTGAAGCAATAAAACCCTGCAGCAAACTCCAGTAAGATTATGGAATAAACAAAGTCATCTTCTACCACATAACCCACTGGTTGAGCTGCATCAAAGCCAAACGACCTCAGAACTTCAGCTTCAGATACCTGAAAACACTCTTGACAACATCTCCAGAAACAGAATCATTGCTGGTAACGTTGCCTAGTTAGGAGACTTACTGTGTACAACTTGTATGGCATTGAGACTGAAGAATTTGTGCTCTTATCCAAAAAAACGGTCTTTGGTTGCAAAAAAAGCAAGCAACAACCTCTGGCCCCTTTCAAATACAAGAACCTATGCAGTATTACCTTCCTGAATTCCTGAATAACCTTCCAGATACTATTACAGTCTAATTCCCTTGACACTGTTTAGCCTCAGAGTGAGAAATCTGGAAGCTACAGACTCAAATCTCTGTACTGTCACTGTGGGCCTTGCACTATATGGAATCAAGAAGGGAGAACTGCAGAAGGTAAAGTGGGGAAGCAGGGGGCATGTTTTAGGAAGAGTAGGAACAAAAGCTGCTGTGTTCCAAAGGGATTACAATTTCTCATTAGCGCAGAAGCTTCCTACTTTTATGCAAGCCTCTGATTAAGAGTAGAAAACATTGTTGACTCAGCATACATCTTATCTAGACCAAGAATAAAATTATGCTTGTGTAATTATCCATCCATAAAATCAAGTGTCATTGGATGCAATCTCTACCAGCACTTACAGCATTCCTACGAAACAATTCCAGCCTGCATACTGACTCCCGGAGGCACTAGTCACGGTGGCACAGGCTGCCCTACAGAATCGTGAACAACCCCTTAAACCCAGGACTTTTCCTTAAACAAGCTTCAAATTAAACTTTAGTTCAAATTACAGTATATCCTGACAGTCACATTAACTCAATTGTAGGTCAAAAGCCATGGCTTTGATCATGTTATCTTTCAAGCAGTACATGCTCCTTCACTATTCACTGCCTGTGTATTATCACTCAGCTCTGACATTACATGACAACACTGGAATTACCACTAAACTTCATGTCTTCCATTAAAACATCCGAAGTAATGGAGCATATAAATGAAAGTTAAATCTTTGTCACAGCAGTTTATCACGCATGAGGCTTTTCATCCAGTCATTTTTCCATCCATACAGTAATTTTTCCAAACACTCCCAAGTAATGAGCAAGTTACTCAAAATGCCAATTATCCAGAAGCAATAAGGAACAGAAATTTACGGAATAAAGTGGCCAGCTGGCTGAACTATAAATGTTAACATTTCCCCTGCTTTTCAATTTTACAATTCACCTTTGGTTTTGAGATAATACAACATACCTGTGTTTAATTTTCTGAACAGCCAAAAATTTAACTCCATGACTTGGTCTTGTTAGAAAATGCTAAAACCAAACTCTGTATTGCACATCCATAAAGTATAAAATATTATACAGACTATGCCATGCACTGAGTCACTAAAGCTCATGAATAAAGCATATGCATTCATTTCTGAAGATAAAATGAAAATCTGAAAACTGTTTTCAGATACAAGTTTCCTATGCTTTTCTAATATATTTTCACTGAATCAGTATAATCTTCCTGCAGTTTTAGTCATCTGCTTGCAGAAAACCTTGACAAGATAAAATGCTTTGTTGCAGTCCACAAACTCACTAGCACAGATACCAGAGGGATGAGAGAAGAACAGGACAACTTGATTCAGCTCTGTAGCACACTGCCTGCCAATGACATCTGGACCATTCTTGTCCAACATGGAATCAGCACAGAAGAAATGAGCATGTTCAATTTCTTCTCACATTGACCTATATATCCTCAGAAGCTGAGAAAAAATATTTTTGGCTTCAGAAGCATCAAATATGCAGAAGTGCATGTTAGTTTGAGAAATACATATTTTTAGTGCAAGGATTTTCTCATCTGCAATGAAAGAGCTGGCAAGGAAATGCAGGCTGTTCGGTCTCTAGGACTTAAAAAAGGTTTCTCTGAGTCTTCATATTACTTAATCCCACTAAGAAAGGCAAATATAATACACTATGAAAAATGTTGTGTTTACAGTTTCTCTCCTCTGCTTTGGACTAAACCAAAGCAGCTTGCAGACATCAGACAGTACAATACTAATTGGCAGCTTGGTCATAAAGTCAAAAGAGCAGGTCAACAGGGCTGTATTCACACATTTGTTCTTTCAATGCATAAAAAACCTCTCTCAAACAACAGCCTGGAATTGCAGTGGAACAAGTTAAAGATTAATCACTTGAGGAAAAAAAGTCAGCCCATTTCAAATAATACTTTATTTGTGCCTGGTCTCCACATACTGCTGCACTATTTCTAGACAGTAATTTATTCCCATCCTCTTTCAATCACAGATGCTCCTGTACTAAAAAATCATTTTGCAAGAGCTTGAATTTCAGTGTCCAGTCCGGGCAGTCTTGTAACAAATCTTTTCTACTGTACAAGTATGACAAGTTTTGGAAAAACAAGCTCTCAGGATGGAAAAGACTCCAGAAAAGATCACTCCTGGAGCTTGGATAATCTCTGCAGAGGCACTGACTTGAACATGGGCTCCAACTGTTAAAATTAACATTGCTTTCCAAGACAAGCAGAAGAACTGCAGGAAAGCAACAACCAACACCAGCTCTAAAATTAGCGTATAACACAGAGGTGAGTGCAGTGCTACAGCCACCCAGCAGAGGGGGAAGAGGAAGTAAAAGGAAGAGCAAGAATTTAATGGCACCCCTGACACCTTGGTGCAAGCAAATAGAGCTAGTACAAAGCATAGCTGCAGCTACCAGGAGCTAGAACACCACCTGACACCCAAAATAACTTTTATACATTTGCCTGTAAAGGATAAACAGGCCAAGAACTCTGGGATCTAGAGTATGACAGTCAGAAGACCACGTGCGCATACTGTACAACAGACTTCTACACCACATCCCATCACAAGCATTTCCCAATATTCAGCTTTGTGCCATACAATCCTTTAGCAAAGGCAAACGATACTATAAGACTGAGATTATTACCTCACTCAAGGTCAGAATGAAAAGGACAGATACTAGGAAAGTATTCAAAAATATTCGAGAACTCAAAAATACTTGAAATTTCACTGATCCAAACATCTCATTTTCCTGTATTACATCAAAAGCAGCAGTTGAAATGCTGTCAACTGAAGGGCAGAATCAAGTTCTTGTACAGAACATGTTTTAAAGAAAATACTCTATCAGGAGGTCAGTTTGTTCCTGGCTACTAAACAGGTTTCTCAATTTTAATGTATTTTACATTAAGATGTCTGCAATCCTAGAGACACTTCCAAAATACTACAGGTTGTTTTTCACCTTGTTTTTAGCAGTTCCTTATGACAGTTTTGCATTCAGTTTTACACCATAGGCACAAAGGGAATAAGTAACTTGAAAGTGGTTGATGTAGAAAAGGTTTTCCTTTATTGCAGGCACTACTGACTTTGATCAGATCATTTTAGATTGAAAAGTGAAACTGAAAAGCAACTCCTCAGTGCCCAAGCCTCTAAAAAGCAAAATTTGTAGTCTACTTTTTAATATGACAAAAGTTCACAGCAGCATTATCAAACAAGTTCTGCATCACTGCTAAATTTTCATCTTGTAGCCTACTTCCACACTGGAGAGAGCTATGCAGCAAACACATACACCAAGCACAAATACTCAGAGATAACAAATTCCTCCACTTTAAAAACTGGGCAGCAAACGCAGAATGTGATTGAATCCACAACACTGATAAGAATCTAGTCCTCATCTTCCAAATGCAGGGTTCCTATCTCCCCTTACTAGAAACTGCTCCAACACAGCAGGAAATGATTAACATGAAGCTCTATAAACTACAGAAAACTATATGGTTTGAGGTGAAGAAGTGCTGCCTTTCTATTAGAAACTTTTTCAGAACATCCCAACCCACCAACAAGTGAAATCTGACCACATTTCATATTAACATCTGTGAGAATCACAGATTGCAGTATATTAAGCTGAACAGCAAGTGACCCTTCAGCCCAGTTCAATGCAGTATTTAGCAGAAAAATGAAAAAGATCAGAGAAAAAACTGCATTTCTAAGAAACAGCCCTCTCTGTTGTCAGCAAAAGTTTATCCAAACTCTTTAGTTCAACTATTTTTAATAACAGGATGATCCTCTTTCCCCATTTAAAGCAAATTAGAGAGAATATCTCTCTGACAGCTATACAACAGGCTTTACCCAGAATAGAAATCTGTGGGTGTATAAACAGAAAAGTTTGAGGATTTGGAGGGTTTTTTGCTGATTTTAGTGCACTAACCAGGATTTCGGCTTTCAGAACGGCTACCACCCCTCCAGCCTCACATGGCTTTATCCAAAGTAGCCTCCATTCATTATTTGGTTTTCCCTTAATAACATTAGCAGAGGCTGAATCACAGAAAAGATTTTCAGAAACACATTTCAACTTTGGTTCCAGTTAGGTATGCTGAAATGGTGTTATTTTACCCTGTCATTTATCGTTACCATGGTAAGACTAATGCATTTCAATTTTGTTTTCTAGTTACATTACTATCAGCTCCATTTCCAAACCAGACCCTACTTATCTGTGAAAAGCTGCCAACACACCCGATGAAGGAAACTGATAAGGGGCTCAAGTCAGGAACACCATCTGACATGACGTGGAAAGGAAGCCATGCTTGTACTCAGAATCTCAGGATTTGTCACTCATTCTTTACCTGCAGCTGAACAGGAATTCTGCCATTTCCTGGAACCCTTTCCATGACCATACAAGATGCCACTGATTTTTCATCTTACATGGAGCTTTTCTAGCATCTTCTTGTCTAGGGGCAGTTTTGACTTGGTAGCCACGCACAGCTGCAAACTCAGAGCCATCAAGTTGCTGCCTAAAATATTCTTCCTAGAAGGAGAGTAATTTCCTCTCATGTTTACCCCTTATTTCTCAGTGAAGTGAATTAGCTTCAGAAGTGTTCCAGCCTTTACCCGCTATCAAGGACACTTCAGGAGCATTTCGATACTCAGTGAAGGATACTGTCATTTACTATACCTTAAAAGCCTTATTCTTGTGAAAATTGTTAGTACAGTTACTAAAAGTGGCAGGATTAGATAACCTGTACTCATGAAATGTTTCTAGCAGAACACAACCCTCATCAGTAAAGAAGGTACAACATCCCATATAAATGCAGTTACAGCAAGAAAGATCAGAATGTTCAATGTTTTTACTGAATCGCTTTCCAAGACTGAGAACAATGTTACTGAATAATGTTTTCTTGTGACATTTCAAAGCCAAATGGCTTTGTACTCTTAACATGTAGAGCAAGACTCTTAAAATATTTACCTTAGAATGAGAAGCTAAACATGCACTTCCAGGCCTTTTAAAGAACAAACTAATAATTTCAGCTAACTAGCCTAATGTGGGTGGGAGAGTATCAACTATCTGGGGGAAAAGTAATAATAGTATCACCTGATCAGAGGAGTCAGGAAAGAAAACAAGTAAACTTCCCCCATGAATACACTACTAATACCCTATATTAAGAACAAAATTCAGAGTAGTTTATTAATCACTTCTCACCTTCATCTTGACTGTTAGACTAGACTCACTACTGGCATAGCTCTCTTGGCCTCTTCCAACAGCACAATACTAAGGCATGTAATAAACCACAAACACCTACTTGACTCTATTTTCTCACTGATTTGAAGTATTTCATCAAGTACCTCCTAATGCTCATGTTTGTTATTTTACTAGCAAAATTACCTAAAGGTAACTGTTAAGTAGGTATACAGTTTAAAGACAGCTCTAATGAAAGACAACATTGCTCTAAAAATTAAAGCTTGCAGAAGGATTTGGACAACTCAGTTTGTAAGCTGATTATTAAAGCAGATTTTGCAGTTTTTTCATGCTTGAGTACCGTTTTAATTTGTGTGCAAAAAAAGGTCGAAACCCTTGAAACAGAGTTGTGGTACAGGCACAGCAGAGTTTGTGTAACTAACATTATGCAGTTGTTCTACCAGAACTGCACTGGAAGTCTTTCTTGTTTGCTCCAAATCTACACAGGATGAGAATTCTTACACATACTTCAGATTATTCCCCCCCGCCCCACCACCACCATTTAGCACAATGCAAACCTCCACCTTGGAAGTTCAGGCCACGTACCCCAGCCAGACCTTAAAAATTTCAGGGAAAGAATGAGTTAAGTACATTTTAAACAACTGAGGAGAATGGCATTTGCACAGTAATTTACACAATTTAGCACTCAAAATTGCAGTAGTTGCTAAAATGCAGTACTGTTTTGCCCTTTTTGGAAAAGAAAGTATAAAAATAACAGATTGCCACAAAGGTCAATCATTATTCTGTTTGGCAAAGACATTTATAACAGACATTTATTAAGCAACAAAAGAGCACTAGCACAGGTTACTAGCATTGGTAATTGTTTTAAATATCAAAAGACAATCACTGCCTCGAGGTATCCAAAATCCCAGCTGAAATGTCAATAAAGGAAAAACATTACTTTCAGAGTTCTGGCAGCTGATGCAACCTCAGGTAAGACCTTTCGTTGCATGAACCATCCCTTAGATCTTGTCAGGAAACCTCTGGAAGCCTGACTTAAGAACTCTCATCTCCTCCAAATGTGTAATACTGACACAAGCTGGGTAAGAACAGAACACCTTGACATAGTACATCATATTACTTCTGAAACTTTAATCAAGAGAAATCATTCAAAATCATTCAGATCTCTTTCCAGGATTATCTTGTTGCATGGGTTTGATATTAGTAATTTACACTTTGAGAAAATCATACTAGTTACACTAGGGGATATGAAGTAAGAATTGTAATTAATACCTGCAACTGAGCATGTGTTAATATGTCATCATATGACATACAG